TAAATTTTAGATTTTCCGTTTCGGAGTTATGTGATTTTATTCATAAAAAATGCAGGATTTTCCAGTTATCGGACAATGGTTTGAGGAGTTATCATGAAACTTTCATGACTGGTTTATGTTTCATGAATTTCTGATATGACATTGAGAAGTTATTGAACTTTGTTCTTTGAAAAAGCGACGGGCGTAGCTGTTTATTAATTTCATATCTGACCATGAATAGGGGAGGTTTTGGATCCAAATAGACTAGTAAAACCCCCTCACATGTTTTGTGCGCCTGAACCATGTCCTGAATATGTTGGTAATTTTTACGTCTTTGACACGGTAGAATTTTTACTTAATGATGTGATATTTTCAAATTATGCTTTGCCTTCATATTTGATTCCTTTTTTAGTCGATCAGAGATCGCTGTATGTTTATTTTCTTTATTTCATTTTCTCTTTTTTATTTTTATTTTTTTTTTGGGGGGGGGGGGGTTCCTACCATAAAGACTACTGCGGAAGCCACAAAAAAGCAAGAGAACGTTAAAAATAGTTCATTGATTTTAATCGGAATCGGAATCGGAAGATACACCAAGGGCCTTTAAAATTTTGGTAAATTAAAAAGGTATAAAGTAATGAATACATTATAGATGCACCCAAGACCAAAATAAACAGACATTGTAGAAACATGTGCCGCCCTTGTCAACAGACATAAAACTTTGTTTAATAAAACATCAACTACAACAATACATGTTTTGTTTGGTTTTTTTTTTCGTAAATTGCACCAACACAGCTAGAAGCTCAACGTCTAAAAGGGTGAAATGTGATTTAATGCCCATCCTTTTCTTCATAATAAATTAATTAAAATAATCCATGTCGTTTTGGACTCTGTTGGAAAGTTGTATCATTGCTAATCAAATAAATTTCAAGCAATAAAATCAATTGTGATCAATACTATTATTTTTAATTTTTATTTTTGAGACGACCCCTCACATCTTGCCTGTCGTAGTCGTTCTTAACTGTAGGTGTAGACAATTGTTGAAAAGGTCTATTATACAATTGTATTATATGTCTCTGGTTAAACATAATATATATTATGAATCTTGGCATTTATTTTAATTGACAATAAGTAACCTGTGTGGACAATTTTCTTTCAATTTGTTTCACTAACAAAAACCAAAGTTCGATGTTCATAAAAACTAGAAGAAAAGAACAGCTTTGCCAAAGCAGAGACATATATACACATATTGTGTATATATGTCTCTGGCCAAAGTAACTAAACAACAAACTAATCAACATGTGTATAATCAGGATGTTATTATATTCAATGATGTATATTGGTATTGTTGATTGAAAGTTTCATGCAATGTTGAAAACTTTACACGTTTTTGCATCGAAAAACTTCCATAACCAATAGTATATACATGTATTATAATTTATATTTCAGCTTTTAAACTTTCGGTAGAGGTTTGGTTTTTAAGTGTGTCCTCCTCTTATTCATATTTTGGATACATTCTGAAGCATTTTTATTAGCTTTATTTTTTTTAAAATTTTGTGGCATGTTTAGAAATAATTTTTGTTAGGGCCTGAAAATTCACACATAAAACTGTGAGGCTGTGAAGCTGTAAAGGCTAAAATTTTGTATATTGACACTTTTTGAAAATGACTTCCGTTCGAAATTTATTAAATTCAGGTTTCTTTATTTCACAATGTTTTTATTTCTACTGGATTAATAATGTAAGCGTATAATTATCATAATTATGTTTTATTGTATTTTTTAACCTTTGTATAACACTGGCGTTTAGGGGCATTGACCCTCCTCACTTTTTAATTTTTTAATTTTTTAAAGTTTCTTTTAGTAAATGTTCTTTAATGAATATGTTATTCATACCATCTTAAGATAACAATTAGTAAAGCCTCTAACAGAAGGCAAGCACGTATATATAAGATTTTAGCGCCTGTGCTATATATATTACAAAACACAAAAAAAAAGATCTATGTATGGAAGCATTATTGAGAGTCAGATTTAGTAATATAATCCTTCCATGATCTATAATGAACGGTCGTTGTATGTCGTTTAACTGAAACAAGACCATATATTTTGCTAATCGAATAAAAACTGGTAATGTTTTATTTCTTGATTTTTTATGTATATAATATACATGCGACATATTGTTCACAATAAAAACCGATAGCGATACAGTTAAGATAAATTAATAAGAATAAGTCGGCATACCATATGTGTGAAAGGAGAAATGTTTGACAGATGGCGGGGAAGTTGCGCAGACATCACGTGGCAAATTTAACCACTGAGATTTTGTTGAAAGACCCTTTCCATTATGTCAGAATTTAATTAGACACAGAAAACATTAAGCAGTGAGACAGATTACTGAAACAGTAGGTCGTAAAAGTAATAGTTATATAGAAGGTATTGGTGTATTTCTACTATGGCAGCTCGACCGGTTGTAAAAGTAATAGCTATATAGAAGGAGTTGGTGTATTCCATACATGTCCAAGACATACCAAGATGTCGATATCGTCGATATCGACAATGTCGACACAATATCGAATCGATATTGATGAACATATACACTCATATCATAACCAGATGTAGATTTTGATGACGACACCAATGGCAAAACCTGATGTTGATATCGTCGATACTTATGATGACTTAAGATAATGAATAAAAATAAGACATAACAAGCTGATTATATATATAAATTAAGACCGAAGATTGATAAAGGGATAGATGATGGCTGAATTGTAATCTATTTATTTTTTTAAAAGACAATCAGGTGGTCACATCTCCAAAGTAATGTACCCTTTAAAACACATTAATGTATTCTTCAAAAAAAACAAAAACAAAATGTTTGCTTGTATTACATTGACAATAGCTGACATGGTAATTTAGGTGTTAACTAAGTGCGATATGGTTAAATACAAAGATCTAAAAATGCAGATATAGTACAAACATGACTTGCTATGTAAAATTCAAATCCATGGAATGTGAACTGGTTCCCATTTCAAACAGAGAAAACATGGGTTTATCTATTGGTTGAAATTAGATTTTAACTTTATTTGAATAGTTTCGAGTATTCTTAGATCGGTACTTTGTGATTTTGTCCATTTGTTGAATTTTATGTATTGATGCTATAGCACCGTCATAGATTTAGGAGAAGTTTTAACGCACAAGTTAAACCTCGCCACATCCTTATTGTGATTGACCCTTCTCGGGAGCTCTTTGATTAGGGGTTGTCGTCCGTTGCTGTCGGTCATATTTAATTTTCGTTTATCATTTATACATAAATCAGGATGTTTGTTTTCCCATTTGAAATATTTGATATTTTGTTATGCCGGTATTATTGAATTATTTGAATTATCGATGAACATTCAGTACCGTGTTTTAATTAAAAAAAAAAGAGGGACGAAAGATACGAGAGGGACAATCAAACTCATAAATCGAAAACAAACTGACAAAGCCATGGTCAAAAATAAAAAGACAAACAGACAAATAATAGTACAGATGACACAACATAGAAAACTAAAGACTAAGCAACACGAACCCCACCAAAAACTGGGGGTGATCTCAGGTGCTCAGGAAATCATGATAGGAAATACAAGCCCGGGAATATCGTATCAATTGGGAGATATATTCTCCGTATGCAGGCGCTGCTGGAATGTTGCTACATAGAAATGGAAAGTTCACAATTGGGAAGCTGAAACCATCTCTTTTGTCGTAAAGTTTTGTTTTCAACCGACCCTCATTGTCAATTTCTAGATGTAAGTCAAGATATGAGGCAGACTTAACTGTATCTGTAGTATCCTTTATCTCTAGTTCGATGGGATAGATTTGTTCAACATAGCCACCAAATTTTGTATTATTTAGCGAGAGAACATCATCTATATAGCGGAACGTAAAGTTAAAGGATATTGCTAACTTTTTATCTTTCTTCCTAAGAAGTTCCTGTATGAAGCAAGCTTACAAACTGTAAGCTAATCAAAATAGAAGTAACTCAAAATTTCAAAAGCATCTTCCTAGAATTACTAGTAGTTGTCAAACACCAGTACTACATGTTCATTATCTAGGAGTAGAACACACATCCTAAAGTAAGATAGTCTGTCACTTCCGGTTTGAGGCCGATGCCTTAGGAAAGTTTTTGCTATAGCAAGCTATAGCAAACTTTCCAAAAGTGAGGTCAAGGTTAGATGATCCCAGCCATGTACACCTTACAAGCATTCAATACACCAAGTATAGTTTACCCTTTTACTTGTAGTATCCTTGAAGAGGACCAAACTACTGAAGCAAAACCGTTGACCATTAAACCATGAAAATAATGTCAAGGTCAGATGAAACCTGCCAGACTGACATGTATACCTTACAATCATTCCATATATCACATATAGTTGACTCACTACTTATAGCATCTGAGAAACAGACCTAATCACATCTTTATTCTTGATCCCAGATCCATGAAATGAGGTTGAGGTCAGGTGAGCCCTATCTGAAGGACATGTAAACCTTGCAAGGAACCCATATAACAAATATAGTTATCCTATTACTCATAATAAGTGAGAAATTCACATAAAAAGTTGAAGTATTCCCTGAACCATGAAAATTAGGTCAAGGACAATTGATATATGACAGACAGAAATTTTCGTAACACAATGCATCTATTTACAAGGTATGAAGTGTCCAGATCTCCCTTCTGGAATATAAAGCATTATACAAGTAGTTTACACTGCTGAAGAATTGTAATTCCAATGTCTGGCGTTCTTTGTCGAAGGCAAGACAGACAAAAATGGTGATTATATAGGTATCACAATTATAATTTTCCTTGTTTTGTTATGTCTATTTTGAATAACCATGGTAGTGGAGCTACAACAGAAATGATAGAAAGAGGGAATTTCCAACAATAATCAGATTCTGGATTTTGTTTAATGTGTTATCTGTGTGATATTCCTGCTAAAAGAACCATACACACAAATATATAAACAGATAGCAAAGAATCAACAATTAGCTTGGATCAAATTCCTTTTATTAATACTCCAAAGAAAACAATTAAAACAAATTATAATATGCATACAGTTAACAGTTATTGTGCATTTACACCATCAATAACAAATAATCACAGTAATGTGCCTTTACACCATCAATAACAAACAATTGTTGCATCTGTGATATTAAAATTTTTTAAATGGCATCAAAACACTTTGTATTTAAATAAGTTTAATTGCAATCTTTCTTTTATTCACACCCCAAAAAAGTACAAACAAAATGAAAGAGATAGCTTTCCCTAAATCTTAAAATTTGAGAAGAATAGAACTTGAAACATTTATGTCAAACATTCCTGTCTCTGATTCAACAGTATCCTCAAATAAGTAAAGAATGGTGACTGACACAAAGGTTGTGTATACATGTATACTCATAATCAAGTTATTTAACTTTTTCTTTTTCCAGTGGCAGTCTTAATTCCCAATCCTACAGTCCATTTAAACCCACTTTGCAAAACATACCTTTAATATTTATTGTTATCTGTTCTCATCCTGAATATGAATAAAATATTTGCCACTGAACAATAAGCAAACAACAATCAATCAATATTAATCTGTTCACTTACAACATGTCATCCTCTGATGAAACAATAATTAAAGCATACTTGTACATCAATGTTCTAAAATATAATTATTATTAATACTGATGAGCACCTGCATATAACAACTAAAAAGATTGTGTAATGTGATTTAATAAAGTCTGACTGATTTAACAGTGTTTTGTCAAAGTAAACATGGGGGTAATTACATAGCTGTATGGAGAATTAATCGAACACTGATATCAATTACTATCTTAAACTAAACAATCTAATACACATCAAATCTGACATTCATTTAAAAGGTAAGTCAAATATGGCAGTTAAAAATTAAAAAATACATACACATAAAATATCACAGAAAAATTTATTGCAAAACTAGGTAAACTGTTAACACAGAGATATGTCTCGCCTTTTTGTAATTTTGATAATGCAAATGTTGAAATTAAAATAGCAATACTTTAACATGTAGGTTATGCAAATATTCAAAGTCAATGAACCATGTCTGAAGGTACATCATCATGCTAAACAATCTCCATGGAAATGAGATGTGCCAATGCTAATACAACTGCATACCAAATACCATTGACTTATCATAATTCATTCCCTTTGAACAAACCTAAACACAAACATTAACTTGTAAACTATGAAAAAGTTTCAAAGTCAATGAACCATGATGAGGGGGTGGGCTATATAATCTCCATGAAAACAAGACTTAAAAATGCCAATAAATTTGCATACCAAATATCATTGACTTAACATTAGCCATTCATCTTAAACTGATCTAATCACAAACTAATACATGTAAACTAAGCAAAAGTTTCAAAGTCAATTGACCACGACTGAGGGGGCGGGGCAAAATATTCTCCATGAAAATGAGATGTGCTAATGCTTATACAACTGCATACCAATTAACATTGGCCCATCACTAATGGTTCCCTTGAACTGACATAATCACAAACTAATACATGTAAACTAAGCAAAAGTTTCAAAGTCAGTAGACCATGACTGAGGGGGCAGGGCTAAATAATCTCCATGGAAATGAAATGTGTCAATGCTAATACAACTGCATACCAAATATCTAGACCTAATCACAAACTAATACATTGTTGATGCTGCTACTGCCACCGCCGGAAACAGCAAACCAATGTCTCGCTTTTTGACTCTGTCAAGGCGAGACAAAAAATGAAAAATTTGGGATGTGTAATATTTATATATAAATATAATACTGTGAATTCTATCGATCACATCTCAGAGAAAATAATGACTTTATCTTATTTGTATGGCTCATGGCTTACGGTCATAAAAATTTCCAGCACTATTATTGTACTCAGACTCAGAAATCAACAAATCAAAACACTGGATTACCTGTTTCCAGCACAAATTTTGTATTCTGAGTACTGAGTAAAGTCTTATGACCAAGAACCCAGGTCTCTTTGGATTTCTGTCCCTTTACAGAGAATGAATTGAACTATGTCTAAGAATCTTTAAACTGATCTAAAGTATTCTGAGTACTAATTAAAGTCTTATGACTGAGAACCCAGGTCTCTTTGGATTTCTGTCCCTTTACAGAGAATGAATTGAACTATGTCTAAGAATCTTTAAACTGATCTAAAGTATTCTGAGTACTAAGTAAAGTCTTATGACGGAGAACCCAGGTCTCTTTGGATTTCTGTCCCAATACAGAGAATGAATTGAACTATTTCAAAGAATCTTTAAACTGATCTAAAGTTAAGTTTATAATTTGCTAAACCTGAAAATTTTACCACTTTTAGCAGTCCTAAGATGACCCACAAAGATATTTTTTTGTAACTTGAAAGTTCTAAATATTCACATAATAACACAAACGGTATCAATTGTACTGCACAAGTAAACGTTAAACTTATTTTTATCATTTTTGTTTGCTTCAAAATCGAACTTTCAATCAATAATCCTAATAAATGTGATTCAGGCAGTTGTAACTCATTCGTAGAAATTCTTTGTTTTGAACTGTAAATAGGCCTGTACAAAAGGATAATCCCTCACTAAGAACATAATTTACATTCATTCTTCACAATTAAGGAACACCAAATTCTACACTTTCATTGGTCGAGAGCACTTTGCTATATTCTAAGAATCTTTAAACTGATCTAAAGTATTCTGAGTACTAAGTAAAGTCTTATGACGGAGAACCCAGGTCTCTTTGGATTTCTGTCCCAATACAGAGAATGAATTGAACTATTTCAAAGAATCTTTAAACTGATCTAAAGTTAAGTTTATAATTTGCTAAACCTGAAAATTTTACCACTTTTAGCAGTCCTAAGATGACCCACAAAGTTGTTGATAACCTTGTTGTCAATATAATACATGTATCTCAGAACCGTCTTCATGATGTGCAAGTCCCAGATATCATATTATCAATTTTGACATAGCTTTTGTTCATATACAAATGGCAGTAGAAATGTTCTCAAATAAAAAATAACTATGTCAAAAATGTAAAACGATTTATATTCAAATCTAAATTGTTGGAATATTCAGAAACTTTTTCCTGTGAAATTTTTTGTGACTTTTACTCAATAGTTAATCTACTTAAAAAAAAAAGAATTTAACTCATATTTTTTATATGGTACTGTAAGATCATACAATTTTATGAAAAAGTACAACAGAACTATGACATTGATCAATAATCATGTCTGTCCACAGATCTAACATGACATTGATCAATAATCATGTCTGTCTACAGATCTAACATGACATTGATCAATAATCATGTCTGTCCACAGATCTAACATGACATTGATCAATAATCATGTCTGTCTACAGATCTAACATGACATTGATCAATAATCATGTCTGTCTACAGATCTAACATGACATTGATCAATAATCATGTCTGTCTACAGATCTAACATGACATTGATCAATAATCATGTCTGTCTACAGATCTAACATGACATTGATCAATAATCATGTCTGTCCACAGATCTAACATGACATTGATCAATAATCATGTCTGTCTACAGATCTAACATGACATTGATCAATAATCATGTCTGTCCACAGATCTAACATGACATTGATCAATAATCATGTCTGTCCACAGATCAACATTTACAATAATCATGTCTGTCCACAGATCAACATTTACAATAATATCAAACTCTATCGTATTTGATTTGGCAACAACACTTTATATGTGTTCATGAAGCTCTGGTACATCAAATTTGACAAAAAAATGATGTCTTACAAAACCTTACACCAAATTCAAATAAGGAGATAGTCATTTTCTTGCAACTGTTCCTTCAATTTGAATTTACCTACCTTTATTTAAACATTTGTTAGGTATTGAAATGAGAAATGGTTTACTTCTGGTTGTTTTAACCAAATGTGTTCCCATTTCAAGTTTTAATACCTGCTATTTTTTAAAACAGCTTATTTAAGACTTGAAATAGAAAAATGCTAATAATATTTTTACACAAAGGAATATCTTGGATTGCACAACATATTGTAAATTAATCTTTAGTTTGTAACACATATAATACATTTAAAATAAACCACAAATTTAAACCTCACCAAAAAAAGAGTAAGCAATTGATATATAACAAATGATAGGTTTCTACTTTTAAAACATCATTTCTGTGAATTATTTAGGTAACAAATGAATTCCTGTATTATGATAGTCCTAAATTCATAGTGAATCATATTTCCATTATTTTACAACTAATCATAATAACTGTAAAATAAAAGTATAAGAGTATTCTTCAATGACAATTATGGATGTATGTCAATAACTATGATGATATAAATGCATTATAATCTTCAGGAACACAGTCAGCACTCTATAATGTTTTTTTACCAAGTGATAGCAAAGCAAGAAAGCCTTGAAAACTAAAAAGTAGATGACCGTTTCATGCTTTGCCCAGCCGGACTTTTACCGGACTCTATACAAATGTCCGGAATATATGACCATTTTGGAAGCCTTGCAATACACTTCATCTTAATTTTTCAAGTAGGAAATTTTACCTTTCTTGTTTATCAGAATTTACCTTAATTGTGCCAACTCAGGTAGAATTTAACTTTTTATTTTGTTTATACCAGATGTTAACACACTTATAGAAGCACATAAATGAACAAATGAAATCCCTGTAATCTTACTTTAACCATGTAACAGGAAATACATTTAATTAAAAAAACATATTTTTGTAGAATTAAAATTTTCAAGCAAAAGAAATTATTACCAATGGAACAAATTTTCTTACATATAATCAACTAACTTCTAAATGATTTAATTGACTGTAACTCAAGCATTAGTATGAAAGGATTCATTGGCTAGGATCCCTTTTGTTTTTTTTCAAATGAATCTCTACCACAAACAGTCAACATTGGATACATCATATATTTAGCCCTGGTTTTATCGAGGGTATGCCTAGTGTACTGACTTATTTTATATCATACAAACATGCTATCATTATTTATAGCTACATCATTGTTATTGTGGTCATTTAGAACTTTTGTTGGATCATTTATTGACATGGTAGTCCTTGCTATGCATACCCTGGTTTCAATGAGTGTGACAATGGATAAAATAACATTAAACAAACATGATTTCTGACTAGAAAATGTATCATCTCCATAATGAGAACTGAGGTTGTAGTTGTTGACCAGACATTTTTTCCTCTTGATCGGCTAACACGTCCCCTGTTACTGCTGCATGGATGAAAGGATCACTGTTGTAAGCATAGGCCGATTCTGGACGACTGTTAGCAGCCTGAAATACGCAAAAAGAAAAAAATAACAATCTACAAAACAAATCTGCATAAAAACCCATTAAGGACGTCATACTTTTAAACTGATTTAAATCATCCAGATTCATAGTTTCAACAATTTATACTGGTTTAATTTCATACAATCAATGTCTTGTATTTCAGTTTATTTTAAGCAGGTAATTTTTTTAAACTGGTAACAGCCACAGCAATCTATACAGGAAACACATAATATATTTAAATTTCTTAAAGGTAAAGTGGTTTAGTAATTGAGTTTTAACCCGGTAACAAATTTGTAATGAATTTTAATACTTTAGCATGACTACTTATTGCTGTATCATCTCATAGAATTCTATAAAATAAAATAAAAAAAATCTTTCCTGACCTCCGAAACAAAAGACTATTAAATATTTTTTTATTTCTATGAAATCAACTTGGATACCTACTGTTATAATTGTTGCCTTTATTTCAACAACAATAGTTTTTAAATTGAATCAATGAATAATATTTTTGGCTTTGCCAGTATTCTCTTGTAAAATAACAACTAAATTATCTTTAGGGAATAGAAATTATATTATTATTAAATAAAAGTACAATATATAACGGTTTTCTGTAATTTTTGTGTGTGAAGTATTTACCTATAGTTATCTGTAAAGCTGAGTTCAAATTTGTTTGACAATTTCGAAATCCCCTTTTTATACGACTTAGCACACCTATCCTTGCATGTTAGAAAATAGGTTGCCAACTTTCAAGGTTATTTTTGTGTATTGAAGTTAGCGAGTACATAAACATTGGAATATATGAAAAGTATGCTCGATTTCATCTGTTTTAACACCGAGTTAGGAATATAAAGCAGGTATAAAATGCAGTTACTAATGAAATGTATGAAGAATAACAACATTTATCATTTGAATGCAACGAGTTGGCTGAATTTCTTACTCAAAATTGGAAACTGTCAAATTTTCCGGGAACAATATTTTAGGCCAAACAAAACTATCAATGTATAATTAAACATTCATTACACCTACCATAAAGGGAGGTAACTTAGAATGAATAATGAACAGGAAGTTATATCATACAGTAACATACCAGTCTTATTCCATGACCACTTCGTCTTGTCTGGTTATTTAACTGATTACTGGAAATCTACAAATTGGACAAATTCACATTCATAACCATATTCATAAAATTGACAATTTTATATATAAATTCTATAAACCGTAATCAAACACATCTATGTCTACCAATGGTATTTTGACACGCAGTGTCAATTTTCAACCATATTGATTCCTGTCATGGAAAATTTACATCCATCTGTATGGAAAACTGAATCCCATGGAAATTATGCCCCCTTGTATATTCATTTAATTCCATTCTATATCTCAAGCAAATAGGGGAGGTCATTATTCCAGAACAGGAGACCCAACATCCAATAGTTCTGAGGATAAGATATCCTAAATAAAACAAGATTTAATGTTCAATGATGGGGACCCTCTCAATCACAAGGTATTTTTATCACAGTAATTTTTCCATATGATTTACTTTTTAGGTTGGGACGTGTCAAAATTCCATATTTCAAGTCCATTTAATTTGTGTATGTTTGGCTGCTTTGGCTGCATTGGAGTTTTTCAAAAGTATATGATTTCAATTGTTACATAACATTATTCAACTTTTTTTAAATCAAATATATGTAAGGACTTTAATGATCTGTTGCTTTCTTGAAAGTACATACTTTTCTTTAATATGTTCAGATACCATTAATTCTATTTAAGTTACCTTTTTAATGACCCCTTTATCAACAAGCTCCCATTTGTGTGTTCTTTGTAGATTTAATGCTGCAAAATGTGGCCATATTTTATCTGACGCTGAGGCAAAATCTTTTGCAGTCCTGAAATAAAATTACATGCAATACAAAATAACTTAATTTTGATTAAAAGGGAAATAACTCTAAATCAAATGGCATCCTTTTTGTCTTAAGTTTTGTAATTCAAAATCAATTTCATCAATTTTTAACCAATTATTCACCTTTCTATTACAGGGGAAAAAATTAATTGCTCAACCTGAAAATGTTAACTGAATAAGTAAAAAACAAAACAATGCCTGTAAAATAAATGGAGAATGTGTCCCCATGGACACAGATGATGCCCCTGCTTGCATACAACATTATAAAGGGACATAACTCAAGAACAATAAAAGTTATGCTACTCAAATTTGTACTTGATCTGAGTTTTGTAGTAATAAGTATTGTGTAAAGGTTTCATAATGTTTGGTTGGGGCAAACTTAAGTTACAGACGGGAAAAACTAAAAATTTTGCAATTTTTCAATTTATAAAGGGGCATAACTCGATAATGATTAAAGTGACGCCACCAAAATTCAACTTGATCTGTGTTTTGTGGTAAAAAGCATTGTGTATAAGTTTCATAACATTTGGTTGAGGCAAACTTAAGTTAGAGAACAGAAACTAAAAATTTTGTAATTTTTCCATTGATAAAGGGGCATAACTCTAGAACGGTTAGAGTGACGCTACCAAAATTCAAACTTGATCTGTATTTTGTGGTAATAAGCATTGTGTATAAATTTCATAATAATTGGTTGAGGCAAATTAAAGTAAGAGAAAGGAAACTAAACATTTGTTATTTTTCCATTTATAAAGGGGCATAACTCTAGAACGGTTAAAGTGACACTACCAAAATTCAAACTTGATCTGTATTTTGTGGTAATAAGCATTGTGTATAAGTTTCATAACATTTGGTTGAGGCAAACTCAAGTTAGAGAACGGAAACCAATTTTGGGACGTATGGACGTATGTACATACAGACGGACAAGAGTAAAACTTAATGCCCCCTCCGCTACGGCGGGGGCATGAAAAATAAGAAAGACTTATACTCTCAGACTCTCTCTCCTCTTTCTAATTCAAATCTATTTTTTTGTTCTTTTTTCTTTAAAAAATCCCAGAAATACTGGAAGTTGGACATTTAGTGTTACTATGTATAGTTTTATACTTTTCATCCTCATTTCAATGTCTGTATATGCAAGATTCGTTATATAAATATAACTAACCTTCCCTCAGAATCAGGTAGTTCTGGTTGTGCTTCTGCCTCTAATAGTATCATGACTATCTAAAAACAGAAAGTTCATTTCTTTTTATCTATAACAGTGCTATATATATGAAACATATGCTAAGTTTATCAAGAAATCTGTCCTTATAAGAGATTTACAGGTTCGCTGGACAATATATAGAAACATGCTTTTTTTAACTAATTGTGGATATATGTACATAGCATAGACTCAGTACTTGCATCTTCACTCAATATGCCTTAAATATCTGATCACATATTACAACATCTTGGTATATACCAACTGCTCATAACAGGTAATGCATAAATATTCTGTTATTCAATAAAATACAAATCAAACTTCATTCTCAATAAAATCCTTCGCCAAGAGCAGCCAGTTACGACCACAGAGGTCGAACCCTGAACAGTTTGGGCAAATTTGGACACAATATTCAAGCTTGTTCCTGTCTGAATTTGGATTGTGATAAAATTTTCGACATAATATAGGTTTCTGACACAAAATAAATATGGTCAAAGATCTTAAAAATTTGAAATGGGACATTTAATTTACCTACTATGGTCTGATATCCCAAATCTAACAACATGGTTAGATTCAGCATATAAAAAACACCAAAAATTTAATTTTAGTTGAAATCAAACAAAGTTTAAATTTGGACTCTTCAAACCTTAATATGGACTAATTTGAAAACAGGGCCCAAAATAAAAAAATCTAAATGCACAATAAGATTCAGCATATCATAGAGCTGCAATAATTCAGTTTTTGATGAAATCAAACAAATTTAGTTTTGGACCCTTTGGACCTCAATGTAGACCAATTTAAAAATAGAGCCCAATATCCAAAATAGTAATACAAGGTTAAAAGATTTGTATTTATTTTCAATTGAAGATTTCTTGCTATTGTGCAATACTGTGCTGTTGCAGAATACTAAGTTAATCTGTTATATATAATAATTTACACACCCTGTTTGGTGTGTATCTCCTGACATATCAGTATTTGTTGCTTTTATATATGAATCAGAAATAAATTCAATGTAAAAATTTGAAATTTTTGGGAAAAAAAACCCCCAAAAATTAGAAATTTTGAAAAATCTTGAAGAAAAAAAGTATGAACCCTCAAAAAAATTGAAAAAAAAATCCCCCCTCCACCCCACCCCCCCCCCCCCCAATTTTTTTTTCAAAATATTTGAAATTTCACAAAAATTTTGAAAAAAAAAAAATATGAACCCCCAAAAAATTTGAAAACCCCCAAACTTTTTGAAACCCCTCCCCCTCACCCTAATTTTTTTTTTGAAATTTTGGAGATTATTTTCTTTTCAGGAAAAATGTACAATTTTAGAGAATTCCATACACTTAAACACAAGTTATTGTCTGGAAACTAGAAAAATGCTTGTTTTTGACCCCTTTTTTGCCCCTAATTTCTAAACGTTTATGGCAATTACCCCCAAACTCAATCCCAGCCTTCCCTTTGTGACATGGAACCTTGTGGTACAATTTCAGAGAGATCCATACACTTACGGGTTATGTTCTTCTCATATATGTTATGATGGTATGATACTAAACCCCTAACGGGAAGGATTGTGCCTGATATTCATATGATGAAGACATAATCTTTCAATCAGTTTAATTGAAGTCTGGAGCTGGCATGTCAGTTAACTGCTAGTAGTCTGTTGTTATTTATGTATTATTGTCATTTTGTTTATTTTCTTTGGTTACATCTTCTGACATCAGACTCGGACTTCTCTTGAACTGAATTTTAATGTGCGTATTGTTATGCGTTTACTTTTCTACATTGGCTAGAGGTATAGGGGGAGGGTTGAGATCTCATAAACATGTTTAACCCCGCCGCATTTTTGCGCCTGTCCCAAGTCAGGAGCCTCTAGCCTTTGTTAGTCTTGTATTATTTTTAATTTTAGTTTCTTGTGTACAATTTGGAGTTTAGTATGGCGTTCATTATCACTGAGCTAGTATATATATTTGTTTAGGGGCCAGCTGAAGGACGCCTCCGGGTGCGGGAATTTCTCGCTGCATTGAAGACCTGTTGGTGGCCTTCTGCTGTTGTCTGTTCTGTGGTCGGGTTGTTGTCTCTTTGACACATTCCCCATTTCCATTCTCAATTTTACTTACACACAAGTTATTGTCCAGAAACTAGAAAAATGCTAGTTTTTGGCCCCTTTTTGGCCCCTAATTCCTAAACTGTTGGTACCATAACCCCCAAAATCAATCTCAACCTTCCTTTTGTGGTATTGAACCTTCTGGTAAAATTTCATAGAGATCCATTTACTTAAACTAAAGTTACTGTCCGGAAACCAAATGGGTCTTCAGGTTGTATAAAAAGAAATGCTTGAAGATTTACAATAAATTTGGGCTTCCGTAAGTTATAAAGATCTATTGGTTTCAGAAAAAGGATCTTTCAAAGGTCTTCTTAATACAATGTAACAGCAAAAGCTAACCCAAGCTGTACAAGTCAGGTGATCTGACGAAGGTACAACTGATTGCATCTATTATCTTACAGGTCCATGTTCCTGAAAACAAGCTGCATGTAGAGGTGTCCACAGTGTACCTTTATTCTGACAATTTGGTGCTGAAATGATACATATACCGGTACACATATATATAATAGTTATATAAGAAAATATGGGTCAATTAAATCAAATTAATAAAAATAAGTATTCCTAATTCTGAAAGCAATGCATTTTATAGGTTACAATACAATAACATCTTATCAGCATCACAGAGAACAATTTGAGCATGATATACATATTCAAGAGTTTCAAACAAATTGTTTCAGTAATATGAAAATATGTTCAAATATTATTAATTTATTTTACATAACAAACAGATAGCAATTATAAAAGTTAAAATGTTGATGTTTTTAAGTGACAAGATTATATTAAATTGAACCAAATTTCTTTATAACATACAATGTAATCCAAAATAAAATGACATTCATCTTTTATAGAATACAGTCAAACATATTACATATTCTATTGTGTCTGTTTATATCAAAATACCTTAAAGTTTCAATTTTATGAATGTAAATGATTCTTGCTAATTAATGTTTTTACCCTAAACCAGCATGTCATAAATCTGAAACCTTGACCTTCATGCATGTATTTGGAAAACTGTTATTTAGGAGACTTGTTACTACACAATTTTTTTCAAGAATGGTTTATTTTTATAGCACTGAAGCAAGATGTAACTAACTACATTTTTGTGTACCAAGATTTGTATGTTGTATAGAGTTCTTTTTTGTAGGTAAAAAGTTGTAGAGTTATGATGGGGATTTGGAATAAGTTTGAAATAAAATCTAGAGTTATAAATGATACAAACTAGGTAGGAACCATAGCATTAGTGTAAACATATTTTATTAAAGAAATTGTTATATATATATAGCTACAATGGTAAAGAATACGAAATATACAAATTATTCAATAATTGGGATTAGGAAACAAGAGCAGTGCTCTTATATAAATCTGTCTCCCTAAATTCAAAAATTAAATTACAAGCTATGATTACATGCTTAATAGCAAATGAATATGTACGTAACAAAATACAGTCAATGAATACAATAACATAAAGAAAGTTCATTATAAAGGAGTAGGGGCATTGAGGCCCGGTTTTGGCCCAAGAAAATAAAACGTTTAACAACTATTTCAAATTGGCACATAATGTTTGGAAACGCATAGAGTGAAGAAATATAAATGAAAAACATAAGATTGTTTATCTGATGACGTCACAATTATGTCATAATATGTAACGTTTTCATGAAAACGATGAAAAATACAGAATTTGTGCAATTTTCCATTGTTATTTCCATTACGGAAACATTGTGCGCAGCCAAGAAACAACAAAATAATTTAAGAGAAGCTTTATTATAACTGTTAACATAATCTCACCAAATATAAAGTTGTTTCCTGGGTGCGCATATACTTTGCCAATCTAAAATATACTTAGAATTTGATAAAAAGCAAGGAAATTTAAGAAATTTTACAAAATATACAAATTTCGTCATGGTTTGTTGCCATGGTAGCTTGTTTAATGTGAAATTTGTTTTTATTTTCTGAAAACCTGATACCTTAGTCTAGTTAGGACACATTTAAGAATATGTATGATAACTTTTAAATTTGCAGTAATATTTGGGCCAAATAAGGGCCTTATTGCCCCTAATCCTTTGATTATATATTTAAAAAAAAATATAGCAAAGGAAGGGGTGAAAGGTGTTTTAGAAAAATGAGAGTGTTATTAAAGAATGAAATAATATTTCTTTAAGTAGGGGAGGAGTGAATAAATAGAATTATTTGATTGTGGAAGTAAATCGATTGCTACTTATAATAAAGTTTTGCACAGCTTTGAATATCAGTATATTTTGTTCTACTGTTAGTCTATCAGAGCCAAAAAGTAAGACATTAGTGGAAATTCTGCATTTTAATAAATAGTGTTCTGTTGTTTCAGGGTCTCCACAAACACACTTTGGGGATTGTATCAAGTTTCTGTCATAGAGGTGTTTGTTGAGTCCACTACAGTTCATTCTTATTCTCGCATGATACATTTGACCAGACTGGGAACCACAATAATAAAATACAGGCTTATTTTCACAGTTACTTTTTAAATAATTTTTGAAGGCAAGAAGAGACAGACTATTTTGTAGTTCAACAGTTTGCGAGTTCCAGGATTTTTATGCTGATGAGAGGAAATAGTTAGAGTACAATGTTGTTCTTGCTGCAATAGGTTGAAAATCATTCGCATTACACATATTATATTCATGTATATTACAGAACCGATCAGGTAGAATATTATTAAGATAAGATGGAGTAATATTGTTTGTCATTTTGTACAAATATGTAAGTCTGTGGGCCTCTTGTCTATCCTTTAGTTTTTCCTATCCCGTTTCCTTAAATAGTAAATTAATAGATGTTAACCTTGTTCCTCCAGTCACAATCCTTGCAGCCTCTATTTGGACGCTTTCTATTTTATGAATTAAAATTAATGTAGATGTATCCCAAACTACATCAGCATATTCAAGAACTCGCCTTATATAAGAAAAATAAAGTTGTTCTAAAGTTTTTTTGAAAAAATGTGAGTCTACATTATGCAGTGTTGTTCATAGAGCTTCCTTTTAGAATAATTGTAGTCTATTGTATGCATAGTGTTGTTCATAGAACTCCCTTCTGTTTAAAATCAATTTAAATTTTCTAAGTATATTTAAACGGGAATAAGCTTTTTTTACTATCATATCAATATACTTGTGCCAATTACCGTCGTTTGACAGTATCACTCCAAGATGCTTGTGTTCATTTACAGAGTTTAAAAGGAAATTATTCATGAAAAGCTGTGGATGAATAGGTTTTTTAAGTTTCCGGGATATGGTCATGCTCTCAGTTTTAATTGCATTAAAATAAACCAACCACTTCTCAGACCAGTAGTGAATTTTCTTTAAATCTTCATTAAGCTTTAATGCACCATTTATTGGATTGTCCACTATAAGATACAGACTTGTGTCATCTGCAAATCGTATTTTTCTGACTGAATTTCAGCTACAATATCATTTATAAATATTAAAAAGAAGAGAGGACCAAGGATTGATCCTTGAGGAACACCGGCATCAATGTCTCGCCATCCTGACGTTTTACTGTTAATAACCACTCGTTGCTTCCTGCCTCTTAAATAGTCTTTGACCCAGCGAAGCAACTGACCTGTTATACCAATTGCTTCTAATTTATGAATTAACCCCTTATGCCAAACTCTATCAAAAGCTTTACTAATATCACAAAATATAACCCAAATTTCCTTAGGCTCGTCTAAACCCCTCCCAAAGTCGTTTGTCAAATATAATAATTGATTGATAGCCGAGTCACCAGGTGTAAATCCTGACTGGTTGTCCGTCAAAATATTATTTTCAAGTAAGTATGCTTATATACACATCTTTCCATGACTTTACAGAGAACACTTGTCATGGAAATTGGTCTATAATTTGATACTTCCGTAGGAGAATTTTTTTTGAAAACAGGAATAACATTGGCAAGTTTCCAGTCACTGGGAAACCTGCCAACAGAAATAGACATGTTAAACAATTTACAAAAAGGACGTTTCACAATATAACTCGCTTCTTTCAATAACCGGGGACTTACACAATCGGGCCCAATAGCTTTTGATGTATTTAAATTTAACAGTATGTCCTCAACATCTTTTTCTGTAATTTCTATTGTGGATAATTCTGAAGTAAACTTTTCTATATCTGGCATAGAAATTTTCATTTTCATACATAAGAAACACGAGAAAATGAAAGAACCTTAGTGAGCGCGCTCACATGCCCCACGTCCCAAAATTGTCATTGGAGAAATAATATAAGTGTAAGAAAAAAAAATTGTATCAGAAAAAAAGTATGTCCTTATTATCTACACAGTTTCATGAAATTCTGTTGTGTGGTTTGAGAGGAGTTGCGATGACAAAAGGTTGCAGTAGTATTTTGGGCAAATAAGTTCAAAGGGGCATAACTCCTGGAAAAAAAATTGAATTGTAATTTCCTGTCGATATGCACATCTAGGTAGTATGTCCTTAATATCTGAAAAGGTTTCATGAAATTCTGTTGTGTGGTTTGAGAGGAGTTGCGATGACAAAAGGTTGCAGTAGTATATTGGTCAAATAAGTTCAAAGGGGCGTACCTCCTGGAAAAAAAATTGAATCGTAATTTCCTGTCGATATGCACATCTACGTAGTATGTCCTTATTATCTGAAAAGGTTTCATGAAATTCTGTTGTGTGGTTTGAGAGGAGTTGCGATGACAATCTGTTGCAGTAGTACATTGAGGTAAATAAGTTCAAAGGGGCGCAACTCCTAGAAAAAGAATTGAATCGTAATTTGCTGTCGATATGCACATCTACATAGTATGTCCTTATTATCTGAAAAGGTTTCTAACAAAACCAAAATCAGAAATTTAAATATATGTTTATTAATAGACAATGTAAGCTAAGTTTTTAAAGTTCACTTCATCAAAAAAAAAAATATATATATAGCATTCAGAAAATTAGTTTATACAGAATAACAAACAAACCTACCACAAAATTCTTCAAACAATTTACCAAAGAAAAGAAAAAAAAATCCAAAATGTCATTTATCATTAATACAATGTCTTTTAAAAATCTATAAAACTTATCTGTAAGTGTTATCAAACTTTATATGTATAATTAACCATTTCTGTTCAAAGGGAAATAACTCAATCACATAATAATTACCACTTTTGACTATTTGAAAGGGAAATAACTCAACAACGAGAAAAGCTAAAATCGTGAAAATTGAACTTGACCTTCATTTAGTCACAGGAAACAACATATCTAAATTTGAAAAAATTTCAAAGGGTTTTCATGTTAATGAATGGACACTGTTTTGTTTAGAACATAAGCATTTTCTTTACATGTCCATAAACAATGTTTTGTATAAGTTAGTACTTACAGATTCTTTTGGATAAGATTTCTTGTACAACTTCCTTCATACCCCAAAAACATGCTGTAAAACATATATAGTAACATGAGTGAAGTAGACTGGGTCATGAAATAAATTTATAATATCCTGCACAGAGGAAGTGAAAACCAAAATCAAAAACTTCCTTTATATGACAGATTAAATATGTACTTGCTATTCACAAGTCAAAAATCTTGACTGCATGCCTCAAAGTCATATTTAATAAGTCATAGTTAATAAGACATAGTTAATAAGTCATGTATTAAATGAGAATAGCTTTCGTTTATCCTTGTACTACTAAAACATTGTTTGGCTCTTATTTTTACACAAATGTAATTGACTTCAACATACAAGTGCAAGTATCAAATTTTAAAGATTCAAGCCTTTTTTGTGTGCATTCATTAAAGGAGTAAGTCCAGTAAGACCCCTTTTTTGGCCCCAAAATAAAGCAGTTTTACAAAACTGTTAAAATGTAAACTTTTAGTTATTTATTGGAAAGTAGAATGCTTCTGCTACATAAATATGGGCTGTTTTTGACAATACAATGCACATATATTGGGAACTAGCATCATTAAGTCATGCTAAGTTACTGAAATCTTCACAATTTTAGCATTTTAGTTAAATTCTAGACGGTTTCCGTCTTAAATGAAAGTGGCCGCATTTGTGTTCATTCTTAATATTGAAATGTAAGTTGTATTTCATGATAACACATAACATATATAAAGGTTGAGGATGAACACGGATGCGGCCATTTTCATTTTTGGCAAAAAACATCTGAAAAGTGACATTTTTTGGCATATTTGATAGATTTTTCATATTTAAGCTTGAATCGGAGCGTTTTTAATGAGTAAATCAGTTAAAATCTTTCACATAAACTAATAGAATCAACTGAAATAGACACTTAAGTGTTTAAAAAGTGTCCAAAATCTTTTGTCAGATGAACCTGAAATTTGAGGCCAAAATCGGCCATTCTCCTTTCTTAACTTAATTGTGGCTGCACAGTGAATGAATTTCCACTAGTTCAACTCAAATTCCAAGGAACACACAGTAACAAACCAGCTGTAATAACCATTTGTTATTCTAATTTAAATCTTTTGACTTTATTTGTACTTTTCTTTGAGGTTCCTAGCAAATACTTACTATACATTAGTACTTGTATATAACTGGCTTAATATAATGTACTATACCTATATATAACAGACATTGTATATTATACATGTTCTCGTTATCAAATGGCAAACAAACGGTAATGTGTAGATACACATGTACAATGAGAGGGACTAACCAGTGAACCCACGTGAAAGTTATGCTTTCTATGGCTATTTTGTCCACCAAACGTGTATTACACATAATCAATTGTTTTCTATATGGTAAATCCCATAGGCCAAATGTTCATTTGATTAAATATTTGTTTTACCCGCTGTAGTTTTCCAGTTTGCTGTTTGATCACGTCTGCAGCAGTTGCTAGAATGTACTAAGCAATGTAAATTTACTCTACACATCAAACTAGGAACCATATTTTGCATATTTTTGCATATTCCAAAATGGGAATAAATCAAAATGGTTGTTTCATCTCATTTTCTGGAATTGGTTATTGTGACAAAAGCTATTAAGATAAGTCTTATTCTTGTTATTTATTTCTCTGACTCTCTTTTTATTGAAAGAAATTATAATTAAAAAGTCATAAAAGTAGAAAGTTCCATAACTGTATGTTAATACTGTCAAAAATGCTCATTTTCAGAAAATATAGGTGTATTCCTTAAGGTCTGATTTCATAAAGTGTAAACAAAATGGTACAAATGAAATGGATATATATTCTATAAAAATTTTCATTTTGTTTTTATGCATTTTTATTCATTTCATTATCACTTATTTAGGGGGACATCATCAAAGACCAATGAATATTAAACATTATTTCCTTAATCTCATTTGATTTTGTTCAAAATTTCTGTAAAAATACTTAAATATTATATCTTAAGTGGGTAAAAATTAGTTATAAGAGACCTTTGGATTCAGATGGTGACATCAAGTTCAATACACAATAAGTTGATTGATTAATGATTGCTTTACACCACATCTGCTCATAAAGCTATATAGCGGCAAGACACAACCAGTTGAAGTTAATACATTGTCAATGTTGATGAAAACTATGTTCTGAGGCAAAGATATAAGGTTATTTTACAAACCAATTAGGCAAGAAAACTCTTGCAACAACACTGTACCAAGCAGGTGTCCCAGACCAAGAAATAATGAATAGGACGGGCCATAGATATGTTGTTAACGTAAAGATATACAAGCGTCCTTTAACAGAATATTAAACATTCTTCAGCCAGTAGGACTATTCAGGTGTAATTCAGTTGTGATGGATGCACACTTGAAGTTTTAATGTAGTACATTGTATGAACATGATGAAAAAAATTCAATTTTTTAATAGTTAAAGTTTAATTAAGTAATTAATTTCACATCCAAGGTCGATATTCAATAAAATGAATATGTGAAAAATGAATACGTGTATTTTTTATTTAGTTTTTAAAATATTTTCATTTGTATTTCAGATGCAGTATGGCCTATAATCAAATATATAAATCAAAGTGCTTGTGAGCACTGCAGGGTAAAGATAACTTTCATTTTGCAGTTGAAACAATAAATTAAACATTGCATTATATCAAGTATGTCAGTGGAAGGCAATACATTTGTAAAATCAATTAAGAAATTTTCTTTTTCAAATAAATCTAGTTGGTTTTACTACAATTATGGACAAAGGAAGATAACTCCAATTTTAAATATAACATTAACAAAGACATCATTGATATTTTGAAATGATACAAGATTCATGCACTGTGCACATTTTATGTAATTTTCTTGACAACTATGGTTATACACATACACATAATTTTGTAACTGGAATATCTGAGTATATATTTCTTTGATAAATTTCTTAAAATGTTCATGGATGTATAGAATGTTTTTTTCTATCTCAAAAGAAGTGATAGTCTGGAAGGAGAATCCTACTTTTGTTGGATTGGTTTGACAATCAACAACAGCACTCAAAACTGTGGTGGTTATCTATTAATAAACTCATCATAGATACCAGGATTGAAATTTTGTACGCCAGATGCACATTTCGTCTAAAGAAGACTCATCAGTGATGCTCGAATCAAAAAAAGTTAAAAAGGCCAAACAAATTACGAAGTTGAAGAGGACCAAAAATTCATTAAAGTTTTGCCAAATACAGCTAAGGGAATCTTTTCCTGGGGTAGATAATATTAAGTATTTCAAAAAATTCAAAGTTTTGTAAACAGTTAATTTATAGTTATGATTGATTGATTGATGTTTTACGCCACTTTCAACACTATTGTGCTGTTTTGTGGCAGTCAGTTTTTATTGGTGTAGGAAGCCGGAGTGCCCAGAGAGAACCACCGACCTTCGGAATGAAAACTGAAATTCCTAGTCAATTAAGATTGGAGTCGAGTGCACCTGCCACATGCAGGATTCGAACTCACAACCTCAGTGTTGACTGGCTAGTGATACAGTAGTTCGACTACTTTAGACCACTCGGCCACCGAGGCCCCCTTATAATTATGACCATATCAATGATAGTTCATGTCAACACAGAAGTGCTGACTACTGGGCTGGTGATACCCTTGGGGAGAAAAACTCCACCAGCAGTGGCAGCGACCCAGTGGTTGTAAATGAACTCATTGTAGATAGCAGGATTGAAATTTTGTATGCCAGATGCCCATTTCACATAAAAAAGCTCATCAGTGAGCTTGAAATAAAAATATATATAACTGACTTAGTATTATATACTATAATTAAACCTATATATAACTGGCTTTGTATTATATATTATACCTATATATAACTAGCTTGGTATTATATATTATACCTATATATAACTGGCTTTGTATTATATATTATACCTATATATAACTAGCTTGGTATTATATATTATACCTATATATAACTGGCTTTGTATTATATATTATACCTATATATAACTGGCTTGGTATTATATATTAAACCTATATATAACTGGCTTTGTATTATATATTATACCTATATATAACTGGCTTTGTATTATATACTATACCTATATATAACTGGCTTTGAATTATATATTAAACCTATATATAACTGGCTTGGTATTATATGTTATACCTATATATAACTGGTTTGGTATTATATATAATACCTATATATATAACTGGCTTTGTATTATATGTTATACCTATATATAACTAGCTTGGTATTATATACTATACCTATATATAACTGGCTTTGTATTATATACTATACCTATATATAACTGGCTTGGTATTATATACTATACCTATATATAACTAGCTTGGTATTATATACTATACCTATATATAACTGGCTTGGTATTATATACTATACCTATATATAACTGGCTTTGTATTATATATTATACCTATATATAACTGGCTTTGTATTATATATTATACCTATATATAACTGGCTTGGTATTATATATTAAACCTATATATAACTGGCTTTGTATTATATATTATACCTATATATAACTGGCTTTGTATTATATACTATACCTATATATAACTGGCTTTGAATTATATATTAAACCTATATATAACTGGCTTGGTATTATATGTTATACCTATATATAACTGGTTTGGTATTATATATAATACCTATATATATAACTGGCTTTGTATTATATGTTATACCTATATATAACTAGCTTGGTATTATATACTATACCTATATATAACTGGCTTTGTATTATATACTATACCTATATATAACTGGCTTGGTATTATATACTATACCTATATATAACTAGCTTGGTATTATATACTATACCTATATATAACTGGCTTGGTATTATGTTATACCTATATATAACTGGCTTTGTATTATATGTTATACCTATATATAACTAGCTTGGTATTATATACTATACCTATATATAACTGGCTTGGTATTATGTTATACCTATATATAACTGGCTTTGTATTATATGTTATACCTATATATAACTAGCTTGGTATTATATACTATACCTATATATAACTGGCTTTGTATTATATGTTATACCTATATATAACTAGCTTGGTATTATATACTATACCTATATATAACTGGCTTGGTATTATATACTATACCTATATATAACTAGCTTGGTATTATATACTATACCTATATATAACTGGCTTTGTATTATATACTATACCTATATATAACTGGCTTGGTATTATATATTAAACCTATATATAACTGGCTTTGTAATATATGTTATACCTATATATAACTGGCTTGGTATTATATACTATACCTATATATAACTAGCTTGGTATTATGTTATACCTATATATAACTGGCTTTGTATTATATATTATACCTATATATAACTGACTTGGTATTATATATTATACCTATATATAACTGGCTTGGTATTATATATTATACCTATATATAACTGGCTTGGTATTATATGTTATACCTATATATGTATAAAACTGGCTTGGTATTATATACTATACCTATATATAACTGGTTTGGTATTATATATTATACTTTTGTACCTATATATAACTGACTTGGTATTATATACTTTACTGATATATAACTGGCATGGTATTATATACTTTACTGATATATAACTGGCTTGGTATTATATACTTTACTGATATATAACTGGCTTGGTATTATATACTATACCTATATATAACTGGCTTTGTATAATATATTATACCTATATATAACTGGCTTTGTAACACCTCTGTGTCACTTCCCTGTACTTTAATGTTCTCTGTTAAAAAATCTTCTACAAGCTAAGAACAAAAACAAGATCTTATTTTATGCATACAATATTTCCTTGGTTATATAATTATATTTGCAACAGAATAATATCGATGAACCAACAGTACATTACAGTTATCACGATTCATACTTAATTCAATATTTCAAAAATCTCGTTTTGAGTGATTGTACAAAATTTTAATTCTTCATAGAAAAACTATTAGAAATATTATACATGTAAGATTATAAATTCAAAGTTTACTTTTGATTACTTGAATATATCTAAAAATACTGATATGATTAATGATGTAAAGGATAAAGCATCACACACATACTTAAATAATCAAAATGAGTTAATGACCAATATTTCAAGAGTATATATAGAGTAAGAATTTAGACTTTTAGAATTTTGTGCAAATGTTACAATGTACATACAACACAAAGAAGGGATAGCACAGGATGTGAAAATGTCAAGATCAAATTAATATTGTTTTGAATTAGAAATTTTACTTCTTATTCTTTCAATGTTAAAGCCTGACTTTTTAGTAACGCCTTGTAATAAAGCAATTTTAGAAGCTCAAATTCCCAGTTTCTAGCTTTTATTTAAAAATTACTCAAATATTTGGGCATGGTTTTCACCAATCATATAAAAATACATAGAAAAATAATTATAGATTTAAAAATTTATGTAGAAATAAAAAAAATACTTCAAGATTTTAAATGAAGCATACAGTATTGCCTTCTTATTAAAAATTCTTAATTCATTCCAAATTTTATTACAATATACTTAGAGCTATGACCCATATCTGTATATAATTAGCTCACTTTGATCATGACAAATATTTGATCACACATATACAAGACTCATTTGTACTCACTTGATAAAAGATCTAATTTCTCAAAGCATTGTAGTGATGATGACTGATCAAATGATATTGTAAAAAAAATAAAGATGTTCTTGGAGCATATGCTCACAAATAATATATATTCAATGCAAATAAACATCTTTTATCTGGCAAATATAAAACAACGAATCTCAAATGTATAAAAGTTCTAGTGTCCATATCTTTTGTCTTAATTCATGCACCATAATTAGACTTGAACAAATTGAATTCTGTTCGAAAAAATTAATTTTAAATTTACGAGAAAGAGAAATCTTGTTTTCTTTTTTGTTGCTTTTAGTAAGGGCATTATACCCTATTAAAATACATTTAAAATAAAATGCTCCGCTGGGCGCAGCTTGATACGACCGCAGAGGTCGAACCCTTAACAGTTGGGGCAAATATGGACACAACATTCAAGCTTGATACAGCTCTGAATTTGGATTGTGATTAAATATTTGACACAGCATAGGTTTCTGACACAGAATGAATGTGGTCTAAGAACTTAAAATTTTTTAATTTACCTATTATGGTCCAATATCCAAAATCTAAATACATGGTTAGATTCAGCATATCAAAGAATCCAAAGAATTCAATTTTTGATGAAATCAAACAAAGTTTAATTTTGGACCCTTTTGACCTCAATGTGGACCAATTTGATAACGGGGCCCAAAAATCAAAATACATGGTTAGATTCAGCATATCAAAGAACCCCATATATTCAATTTTTGTTGAAATCAAACAAAGTGTAATTTTTGACTCCAATTTGGACCAACTTGAAAACTGGGCCCGAAATCAAAAATCTAAATACATGTTTAGATTCAGCATATCAAAGAACCCCATATATTCAATTTTTGTTAAAATCAAACTAAGTTTAATTTTGGACCGTTTGGACCTTAATGTAGACCAATTTGAAAACTGGACCCAAAATTAAAAATCTAAATACACGGTCAGATTTGGCATAACAAATAAATAAATGTGGTCAAAGATTTTACAAATCTAATGCGCCATACTGTACAATTAAAGATTACTTCTTGAAATTTGAAAAAAAAAAATATTTGAAGAATAATTCTTTTTAATTTCTGAAATCTGAAATGAGAAAAAAATGACCCCCACAATTTCTTTTTACCCCCCCCCCCCCTTTTTCCCCAAAAAAATTCTTTTCCTCAAGATATGGTCATAATCTCAATTCAAATTTCCAATGGAATTTGCAACCATAATTACCCATTTAAATTTACCATAGCGCTAACTTAATCTATTTTATAATAGAATTTAAAATATGGTGTCAAATCTTTCATATGGATTTTTTTGTAAAAAAAAAAGATGCAACATTTGCAGATATTTTTACTGGTCTTCCTTTATAAATATGCATTTCTTTAAACATAATTGAAAAGCAGTGTAAGGGAAGTAATCAAAACGTTGTATGTGCAGGATTACCTCCTTTACACTGTTTTAAATTGTCTTAAATGTTCATTAACCATTACTTTATACATAATTTAAAAGCAGTGTAAGGGAGGTATTTCAAATGATGTATTTGATTCATCTCCCTTACACTGCTTTAAATTATGTTTTGTACTGAAGTATTTGTCCATATAAAAATGCTTGTTTTTTGCCCCTTTTTTTGGCTCCTAATTCCTAAAATTTGGTGGCAATTACCCCCAAAATCAAGCCCAGCATTCCCTTTGTGATATGGAACCTTGTGGTACAATGTCAGAGAGATCCATAAACTAACACACAAGTTATGCCTGGAAGTTACAAAAATGCTTATTTTTGGTCCCTAATTCCTTAACTGTTGGTACCATAACCCCCAAAATCAATCCCAACCTTCCTTTTGTGGTATTGAACCTTATGGTAAAATTTCATAGAGATCCATTCACTTAAACTAAAGTTAGAGTGCGAAAACCAATGTGTCTTCGGACGACGACCAAGCCAACGTCATACCAATATACGATCGCAAAATTTTTTTGCGGTCGTATAATACAAGGGAGGACAGGATTTCTCATGGCTGTAATGAGTTATCCCTTTCCACAATTAATATTTTTGTCACGGAATATAGTATATTAAAGCCAATTTAATCAAACTCAACTTTGACCTAATATTAAATGACGAAAATCAATGTCATGGAACACCAAAGAGTTACAGTTATGTAGGTCACATGCAACAATAATGTAGAGAATAATTATCATCTAATCATGCATACAGATACAATGCCCAACTAGGGGGTCTGATCCCTATTCCTGCTTATTGTTTTGTCAGAATCCTGTATCCCGCTTATCATTGTAATAATAACGCTTGTAATTTCACGTGTCCCGCCCATCTTCGTTTCCCGTTTTCACGCTCAATAATTTGACTTTCATTTGTCACACTTAAAAAAAATCTGACAATCCCACGTCACGCTTAGACCCCAATGAGACCCACTAACTATTGGCGTATTGATTGCCTCTCAACTGTGGTTTATTCAGTTTAAAAAACCTGTGCGGTTAATCAGTGGCGGATCCAGAACTTTTCATAAGGGGGGGCCGCTCCAGTCATGCTTCAGTGATTCCCTATATAATCAACCAAATTTTTCCCACGAAAGGCGGGGCCCAGGCCCCCCCCCTGGATCCACCTATGGGTTTATACACAGTTTAACAAACCAATATAAAAACTTTTGATTTGTTTCATTACTCGTAAACTGGGTTTAAACTTAACAACAAACCATTCAAAATCTTTAACCCTAAAACCATTTGTAAACTGAAACTAGTTTGAATGCAACAAATTCACTCTTATCAAAAAGTTACCTTGAATTGAACTAAAAGATGTAACAACTTAAAGACTTCATCTTTATTGTGATATAACTTCGATTAGGTTATGTAAAAAATCAAAAGCAGGGAAATTAATAGATTTTTGTAGCAGTAATTATGCATCGAAGTAATAGCCTACAAAATGCAAGATACAGAATTAAAACTGGGATTAAAGTTTTTAACTGATTCTCCTTGTACTTGAAGATAGATTCAAGGTCCTTGATGAGACAGAAGCTAGAACTACTAATTTGTTATGGGCTTTTTAGCATAACAATACAATCAAGACTACAGTACATGTTGTATCTCACTGCATGCTTAAATGATCAATTCAGAAGGCTACTTTTTAAATGCAAAATCATCATAAAAAGAAATAAGTAGTTTTTGAAGCTTATACAATGATATCTATTTTGATACCATATTTACATTTACATCCAGAAAATAGGATAAATGAATTGAACCTCTGCTAAGAAAAGTACAAATGAGTTCTTACACAATACCATGGGGTGTCAAAAGGGTCAAAATTAAAATAATAAAATAATTGCTACTAATGGCTGTTAACCAAAACTACAATCATTAAAAGATGTATTATTTGATATTTGCACAACTCCATTATAATACATAATGTAGCAAAAGCTTCTTGAAACAAATGTTCCCTTTGATACCCCACAATTTCATACTTTAAACTACAAATAAAGTGTGCCCATTACAATTTAACCAAACCTTGAAATCTTTACTGTTCAATACCCAGTGCTGGTGAGCAATAAATAATAAATGATTTAGTATAAACTTAAAGAATAGAGCATTCAAATTTCAAAATGTATTGTTTTGCATTATAATATTATAGTGGAACCCTGAATAGTTGTGAGTTTAAATCTTGTCTTCCTTTTAAACAAATATGCGTACAAAATAAAAATGTATAATACAATCAATAATATGTGACCATAGGACACCATTGCCCTGCTCACACTGTCAAATTTTTAGTGAATCATGAAATCTTGTCCCACTCCTAATTTTGCATATATTTTATAAATTTCACATCACAATGAACTGAATGAAGTCAGGGGTACTACTTGTACAAGTAATTTTTATTCACTTGAAGTAAATATTAATATACTTATATAAGTAAATTTGTAAGATACCTATAAAAGTGTATTTTATTTACTTGTACAGGTAAATTATTTTATTGGCTTAGTTATAATTATGTCCCTTAGACATTCAGATTTTTTTACTTATAGAAGTACAAAAGTCATACTATCTTCTTTTCTTGAATTTCTCAGGACTTCTTTGCTCTAATAGAATTTTTAATTGTCTGTCCTTTGCAGATGTCTTTACTAATCAATTAAGTGTAATTTCATGGACAATGAAAATCTCATTTGTCTGTTATTTTTGTACATAATGATATATGTGTATGTGGGTATTTAATGATAATTTGTGAATGCTTGTGTGTATGATGTTATTATAAATAAGTTTTTTTTTCATCGCTATATGTATGTTTATCTCTGTACTGTTGTATCTTATGGTTTATGAGAATAAAGATTATTATTGTTATCTTCAGAACACTGCTCATTTACAAGCCCCCAAGGGGCAATTTTTGAAGGCAAGATCTCTGCCCAATTAGTTTCTCTCTTGAATTAATGAGATGAAACATTGAACTCTAATCAAAAATTATGAGCTAACCTGAGAAAAATTGTTAAAGGCATGTTTTAACATCTCAAAACTTGAGAACTTTAGGGATTTAAAAAAAAAAATTACTTATACAAGTAAATTTTCAAGAAAATTAAGGGGAGATTATTCAAACGTTATAAACAAAACCAAATTTACTTATTTAAGTATATTATTATTTACTTCTTCAAGTATATAAAGATTACTTGTACAAGTAGTACCCCTGACTGATGAAACTGAACATGTGTACTGAAATTTAAGTCGACATGATCAACAATTTAAAACAAAACTTATCAGGTCTAATTAATTTTAACTTAATATAAAAAAAAAAAAGAATGTGTCCATAGTACACGGATGCCCCACTCGCACTATCTGACATTTTCTATGTTCAGTGGACCGTGAAATTGGGGTCAAAACTCTAATTTGGCATTACAATTAGAAAGATCATATCATAGGACACATGTGTACTAAGTTTCAAGTTGATTGGACTTCAACTTCATCAAAAACTACCTTGACCAAAATTTAACCTGAAGTGGGACAGACGGACGAACACACAGACCGAAAAACATAATGCCCCTCTACTATCGTAGGTGGGGCATAAAAACAAAATAAAAAATGTGTACTATGTCAAAATGTTAAAGGTACTTTTGTTCATAGTTCTCAAATTATTTTCACTGTAAACACGTTTCCACTAAGCAATGCATAGTACAAGTGACATAAACTTCAATGTGTTGAAGGGGGTCACTACAAAGTAGAAGTAGAAATATATACATTGTTTTATCCCTGAATCACTATGACAGTTTAAAGGAATTAAAGCTGCAATTTGGTTGTCTATAGAACTTTTAAAGAAATACTAAAATGTTTCTTTTTGGGTGTTTTTTTTTTTTTTTTTGTATAGTTTGTTTTGGGCATTGAACAGGATTATATACATGTATCTTCCTGTACTATTTTAAAAGGTTGCTGAATGAAATCTTCTATAAAGTACAGCAACAAAATTTCTTATCAAAGGGTTAAGTACTTTGAGCTTGCTTTCAGTAACTGCAGGCATTATTGGTATAATTTGTTATCTATTTTGTGTTTTAGTTATCTATCATAGACATAAATGTACCATTATTTTTTAGAAGTGTTAGTCCTGTTCAGCCAATCTGGTTTTTATTTATTGTTCTTCAATGTATGTTTTGTTAATCTACTGATCAAGTTTTTAAGGGCAGGCTTGAGATCTTGAAAAACATTTTCTTGTCCCAAGAAACGAGACTACTCAAGACTTTTCTTATGTCAATTGTCATATCTTTATGTTTTTCATTTTTTGGAGAATTGGGTGTTAATGGCAGACATTAGATCGTTTCTATTCAATTTTTTTTTAACATTTTTTAAAGGCTAAATGGCACAAATTACAGCTTGACATATTGTATAGACACATACATGATTCTGAATTCACTAGTATATTGAATTTTCATGTTCTGTGTTTAATTGATTTTCTTACCGTTATACTGAGGACTTCTTCTTCATATTATTGAATGTAAATTAGGGACGCTATGACAGTGTTTTCAATTGGCAAATAGAATTTTATTTTAGAAAAATTAATGCCTCTTTTTTTACAATCGAAAGATTTCAATGGTGATCAAAATATAAATCATCAGTAATTAAAAGTTTATATATATAGATGTGTCTTCAGTCGGTCTCACTAATTAGTGACAAGAAGCGTCAAGAAGCTACAAGTATAAAAAAAATAGCAACAGGAAGAAAAAATTAGCACAAGAGGACAAATTTAGCGACAAGAAAGTTTATATACTATTTAAACAATAAATTTATCGAAAAAGTCAATTAATTAATTTACAGTTGACTCTTTGCTTTTTTATAAAAAAATTTATATTTAGTAGCACTACTTACATTATTGTAATGAATTTTTAGTAAAAATTATTTTATTATATTATTTTAAAGTATGCATCATTCTGAACATTTTGTTAGATATCTTGACATTAAATTTATTTTCTTGTCGCTAAATTATTCTTCTTGTCACTTCTTGGTGCTAATACACCTTATCACTATTTATTCCTATCCGGATAAGTTCTAAAATTACACAACTTTTCAAACCAGTTGAAGCTATCCGTGGACCTTATTGCTATTTTGACCAACCCAGGAAAAACAGTTCCTTAGACAACTTCCTGTTGAGATCAAGTGGAGCAAAAAATGTAATGTGCATAAAACTTTTCATAGAGACATGTTTAAACCACGGTAAACACATCAAACAAATAATCAATGACTTTAATTTGTCTTTTAAAAATTGCTTCTTAAACTATCAAAATTTTAAAATGTCAACTTTCCAAACTTTTTCCTCCCTCAGCTCATTGCTGATCACCTGTGTTTTGCTCCACTTGATCTCAACAGGAAGTTGTCTAAGGAACTGTTTTTCCTGGGTTGGTCTAAATAGCAATAAGGTGTATTTAATAGTGAGATCCTCTTCAGCAGTTGAAATTCAACAAAAAATCTAATGAAGAGGACTGGCAAATGAATTTTAATCCTGAGAAGTGTTATGTTATTCATATTTCTAAAAAAAGTAAACCTTCCACTTTTGATTATATATTACACAATCATGTTTTAGAAGCAGTAAAAGATAGTAAATATTTAGGCGTAACTATAAGCCATGATCTTGATTGGGGAACACATATAAACAATATTACCTGTAAGGCAAATAAAACCTTAGGTTTTCTTCGTAGGAACTTAAAAAACTGCACACGTAAGGTTAAAAACCTTACGTACACATCACTTGTCCGTCCAGTCGTCGAATACTCTTCCCCTGTATGGGATCCGTACAAAAAGCAACACATCACTCAGGTTGAGCAGGTACAGCGTAAGGCAGCCAGGTTTGTCTTCAATGATTATAAAGACAGATCACCTGGAGCAGTTTCAAATTTAATTAAATCATTGGAATGGGAAAATTTAGAAATAAGAAGGAAAAAAGCTAGATTAACTATGCTATATAAAATAAATTGGGGGTTAGTGGAAGTTCCTAAGGACAATTTAACAATATCTGATAGACGTACTAGGGGGAAACATAAATTTAGGCAAATATCAACAAATAAAGATTTCTATAAATTTTCTTTTTATCCTCGCACTATTTCGGACTGGAACTCACTACCTGAAGCAATAGGTATGTCTGACACCCTGGAATCCTTCAAAAGTGGCATATCCACTCTAACATTTGAAGGAGCCACAACAACTTATTAAACTACAAAGCCACTGTACATAATGTATATATGTTATTGTTAATGATTTTTCTTTGTCATATTATTTTTAAATTAAGTCCATATGTACATAGCACACAAGTTCCGGGAAGTTTTACACTCCTACCTAGGAGTCTACTCCCGTATTCGGAAGAAGAAGAAGGATAACTGGTAATCCATTTTTGAATTCTGTTTCCAGAGAGACACAGTCACAGACTCTCAAAAGTCTGAAAAGACTGAAAAGGGACAAGTTAACTGGACACCTATCTTCAGATCATATGTTTTCGTACGTCATATGAATTCGTACTATGCATGCTTTTTCAATGGAAATTGTGACGTCACAATGCATTCTAAATAGCACGAAAACCTATAATACGAGAATAACCTGCTATAAACGACATAACGTGTAAGACGTCAAAGGGTAAATGTATGATACCTTATCATCACCCTGTTGGGCCAGAGTTGACATCTGTTCTATTGGAACTTGTGCAGTTCTAAGGTGACTCTGTAGGTCTTTCAAAACATTGTAATCTTCAGCCATTATTCTAAATTCTTTAAAGTATTCTGCTTGTTAAGTATGACAGCGTCAAATGGCTTTTTGTTGTCAATGTCAATGTCCCTTGTGCGCTTAAACATCATAAATTGCGAATAGTTCTTCGAGTGGTTGGGTATTATTTCCGGTTATTTCTGTAACTTACGGAATACATAAAACAATACAGTACATTTAAGACAAAACAATATAGATCAATATACAAAACATAAGGACAATTAACACATAAATATGATATACTACAGTTTGATAGAAACGTGAGGGTACCCAAATTGCACCTATTTTGACAGTTTTTCACCTACGTTTATTATGTATGATCCACTAGACAATAGTTTCCATTCTGGGTTTATTTTATAGATGTATCCTTATTTACTATATACAAGGACGTATAACTAAGATACTTATATACGTCTTTGCTGTATATTTCCACCAATTTAATTCTGAATCCATATTGAATTATAGAAAAATGGGTTTGTATGGACCTCCAAACGAACCACGATTCTGTAATGAGGAGTACGCAAATTGTATCCATGCTTAATTTAACATCCCGGCTTAAAAATGGAATAACAGATGTTTTGTTTTATTTCTTCAAATATTTAGAACAATTTGACATTAGTCCATGCTTACTATTCATTTTTTAAGACATGGATGCTTGTAACATGTTTTATTTGCTAATTTTTAAAAGATGACTTTTTGTGGACTTTCCATAGATTTTACTTTTTCCAGTGAATACTTCATTCTAATGATATAGACTCTATACAGTGAAAATTTTGAGCATATCTTCAAATATTTAGCTATGTTGAAAGACGTGCATAATGTCAATTCATAAAAATACAAATTGTTTAGTCCCTAAAAAAAACTTGTAAGATTTTCGCTGCTTTTTTTTTTTTGGGGGGGGGGGGGCTAAATAGGTGCAATTTGGGTACTCAGTGCAGTTTGGGTACTGTGACGTTATATATCATAGCAGAGACATATATACACATATGTATGCATGTCTCTGATCCTAGTAACCCATGTTTGAAGTGATACTTGTAAAAAATCTATGCATCATAATTACACCTTATATAAGAAAGCCAGATTTTGATTGGTTGATAGCCAGTGTATTTTTCGCATATTCTAATGTTTTTTCCTCATTTCAAACGAATTTTCACCACTGCCGGTGAATTTGCCTGTTTTTCACCACTGCCGTTGAATTTGCCTCAAATACCATGGTATTTCAGTTGGAAAGCAGGTCACGGTTTGACCCCAAGTCTATCAGCAACAATAGAGTCACGTGACCGTGAAAATTCAGTAAAACTACGGATGAGACAAACCTCACTTTTACTCACTAAAATACCACTGTCATAGTAAAAACTTATTGATCAAAATAATCTGGAATATACATAGTTTTAACTCGTCAAAACTTACATATCAACTCAAAGTCCTTTATTCTTTATTTTATCTTCAAACTTGAAGTTTGTGTGAAAATTGTCAAGGCTCCTGATCGAAAAATCTAAATATTTTCGAGGAAACTAAAAATGATGGGCTGAATTTAAATTTAATAAAGCATCTCATTAAGACAAACACTCGATATGAATATCTAGGCAATACAGTTTTGGATACGCAAACGTCAAGTTATGTTCAACACGAAGCGGTGGTTTTTTTGCCGATTTGTGCAAGTGGTTATCTCCCCTTGATATCACCAGTCAAAAATAAAAACCCACCAAAATGAATAAAAAGGAGTTTATTTTACAAAAATCAAGAAGAAAATAAAAGAAAGTCGATTAACAACTATGTTATTATAATAGTAAGAAGAGATACTTCTCTACTTTTCAGAGAAGGATTACAGGTAAAAATTAAAAGACAAAAAATTGGTAAAAATTAGATCTAGAAACCTAGCTGAATTGATATAAATTAGCCCTGGCTGATGAAATTTACTTTCAGTTTGTAATTTTTATACTGGGATATGGGATCACTCCTAATGTAACTACTTCTAACAATGTTTAATTCAATAAAACATACTGTATACAATTTAAATAATCTTTCTGAAAAAAATAGTACTGACCATTTATATTTTATATTTTAATAAAGTGGGACCAAGAGTCACAATTTAGTTTCTTCAAAGTAAAAAAAGCCTTTTAACTCAAGCCTATGTTTCTTAGTTGAACAGTACAGTACTGAAATAAAATAAAGTTGAAATAAATAGTTTAAACGTCGATTTTTTAGCTGATTTATTTCGCGGACTTTTTGACGTCACCGACGACTGTAGCGCCACCTAATTAATTCCCCCTGCTATTGTTGCTGATAGAACTTGACGACAACGGACGTTTCCAAGGACTTGCTTTCCAACTGATTTGCCATTTTGGATATTCCTTTTTTACCCTCTCGAGCATTTTCCCGCCAAAATTTTTCGGATATGACGTTACATAAAAAAGCGAGCTAACGCGTATTAGTACATGTATAATTCCCGCGGTTCTGTGATAATATCCTCTTATCCCCAAAATTTTGCATAAACATGTTAATGAATTAGTTTCAATCCAAATCTATTCGGTGTAATTAAACAGATATATCATGTTATGAAGGGGTATTTGCGAAAAATACCAGTCTTGGTACCGAATTTCCCTCGCCTAGCGGCTCGGGAAATTTTAGTCCCTTGACTGGTATTTTTCGCAAATACCCCTCCATAACATGATATATCTGTTCATTATCATATATTAATCTCCATATGGGGGCGGCCCTGCCCGCCCTAAATCCGCATCTGGCTCTTTCAGTACTAGTCTTCTTCAAATATCTTTCTAAATATGTTTTTTTATGAAAATGAGCCCGTTTTTCTTAATTAGAAAGAATAATATTTAAAACGAGTAATTATCTGTGTGGCCTTGTGGCTTGTACTGAAGAGGGAACTTTCGTTGTTTGAATTTTAAACGGCTTCCACGGCAAACCTCAGTAATGATATTTTTTTTGCATATTGGAAACTTCTTAGTTGCAGTGAAGGTTTATCCCGGAATCTGTATATTGTTGGATTGGATCAAGACAGTGGATATCGAATTTCAAGTGATATATATAGTATTAACCATACGAAATAATCAATTATTTACAGAATGTTGCATACTATCCTCCAAGTTAATTTCTTCGTCACTGTCAGTCACAGCCAATAATGGATCAACAACTAACGGTACATAGAAGGCACCATCAACACAGATCTAGAACCAGACAAAAAAAAACATACTAGCATTCACTACAGTAGTGTTCCGACCTATAGAATATGCCACTTACATCTTGGAGTCAACATATTCACACTGCAGCCAATTAAACACTGTGCAAGGAAATTAGTCAGATCAAACATATGAGAGTAAATGAAAAACAAAATGCAAATAATCCGAAATAGCATTTAAGAATTAGACCATGATAAAAAAAAAACATACACCCGATATATATACGTTCCCGAAAGTATCCTAATCCTGACAGGAATGTAATGGATGAAGCATATGACAAACGGGCCATGGAATATGTAGTGTGATAACTCAGTATACAGAGAAAATATAGTGGCGAGTTTAAAAGTCGTTGTATTTTTTTTTTGTATGCTTATACGGCGTCAGTATTCACATTGTATTCAGTTACCACCAAACCAACAAAAAAATACTGAATTTTACTGCGTGTTTTGTCGTGAATAACATCGATGATAAATGCTAATGCATTTAAAATTCAAATAAGATTCTTCTTCTTCTTTTCTTTCGGTTTTCAGTAGTCCTTCATTATCTGAAGATTATATTTTGTTTTGCGCTGCGTGGCCTATATATATATTTACAAAAACACAAAAATAATTGAAAATGAATTTGGGGTGCGTAAGAATTTTAAATTGTGATTAAAACTATGTACATAGGCTAATAATGAGTTAAATGAATTTGTGGAGAACAGTGGTGTAAGCTGTTCTCTGAAAGTGTCGACTGTGGTTACAGCGACTGTGTGGACTGGTAGTAAATTCCACTGAGTAATGGTGTACGGAAAAAATGAAAATTTATATGTATCTTTTTTGGTAGAAACGTGTTTGAAAGTGAAACTATGATTTTTGCGGGTTCTACTGTCTGATGGTATGAGAATAGCAGATGGGATTGCTACGATTTGATGTACTATTTTGTAGAACATTATCAATCTTGTGCGTAGTCTTCTTTCTTGTAGCGTCGGCCAGTTTAGTGAGTTTATTATGTCTGTAGGACTACTGATGTTATGATACCTGTTACAGACATATCTGGCAGCTCGTCTTTGGACCATCTCAATTCTAGAGGTTTGTTCAGCTGTGTGAGGGTCCCATACTGGACATGAATATTCAAGCTTAGGACGAACTAGTGCCAGATATGCCTGGGTTTTGATGTTCTGACATGATGTTTTTAATTTCTTTTTAAGAAGCCCAAAGATTTGTTTCCATTAGCTATGATGTTGTCTGTATGTTTTGACCATTTGACCATTTTAAGTTTTTTTGTAGTGTAATGCCCAGATATTTAGCTGAAGAGACTAGTTCAAGTTTGTGATTGTGAAGGATATAGTCATGTTTAAACTGTTTTTTCTTTTGTGATACTGTAAGGACTGTGCTTTTGTCTTGATGGAAAGCCATCAACCAGTCTTGTTCCCACCTAGCAGCTGCATCTAAATCTAACTGAAGTTCATCACAGTTACTTTGAGATTTGATGGTTTTGTAGATGATACTGTCATCGGCAAAAAGTCTGAGCTTACTGGATTGTAATTATTCTGGTAGGTCGTTGATGTATACCAAGAATAATACTGGGCTCAGAACTGTGCCTTGAGGGACACCTGAGGTGACTGGGGCCAGGTCAGATGAGTCTTCATCCAGGACAACTGTTTGTGTTCTGTCATTTAAGAAGGCAGAGACCCAGTTTAGTGTTTCATTTTGAATACCATAATAGCTCAGTTTATAGAGAAGTCTTTTATGAGGGACTTTGTCAAATGCTTTGGCAAAGTCCATTATAATTAAGTCTGTTTGTGTGTTGTTGTTGTTATTTGCTGCAAGCTCTTGGATGAATGAAATGAGTTGGGTTTCACATGATCGTGACTGACGGAAGCCATGCTGGAGGTCA